CAGGCAGGACAGAAAAAGCAGTCAAGTGTTATGACACCTCAGACGATATTAGTGCTTCTGACACTTTGCACACTTTTTTACTTTCATCCAAACCTTAGATTTAACCCTGGGGCAGTTCACCCCTCAAGAGGCTACAAGATCTGGTTTTCTACAAGACCTTGAGAGGTGAAGTAGAGATCCATTCATATGCGTAAACAGTTGGGGGGGTTGCTTTGAGGTAATTGTCAATCTGATTGTTTGTTAGAACTATTGCAAATGAATATGAGTAAGTTTGCTGAGATATAACAAGCTACAACCCATGGTGCAGAAAATGATGCTAAAAACAATAAGTGCAGTTTCTTCACTGACCATTTGAGGCAGACTGATACCATAGACTAGCATGGTAAAATGCACAACAGCCACAAAACTCACGTTTATGTGCTGTTAAATAAAGCAGTTCTGGCCACTGTAGTTAATTTCTCCATTTATAAAGACTACTCGGTACTTATTTTTTGAATAAGTCACAAATTTGGATTTAGCAAGAATAATTTTGAAGGAAACAGGTTATCTGGGGTGATTTGTGACTGAAGGATAGCAGCAAAAGTGAAAACATGGTAGTAATACCTGCCACGGTTATAGGGTTTGGACACAGTGACACAGACAAAAATGGAGGCTGAGCTGATGATTTTCATTGGCGGTGAGCAGAATGGAAAGGACTAAAAAAAATGAGTAGATCAGAGAGACAGCTCAGGTTACGTAGTTTGGCGACACACTAAGAGAGGCAAGGGGGGGATTGTTTTATACATGTGCAGTGGAGGGGTCTACTGGACAAAGGATGTTGAAGATGGAGCTGCCAGACAGAAGGAAAAGAGGAAAAACCTCAGAGAAGATTCATGGATGAAATGAAGGAGAGGGTTGGTGTGACAGCAGATAGGGACAGGGTGAGATGGAAGCAGATGATCTGCTATGGAAACCCCTAAAGGGAGGAGCCAAAAGAAGAAGCCAAAGATAAAGTTAGGGGTGCGCTTGCTTTGACAAGTGTTGCAACACTGGAGGCTGTAACTGGCAGCAGGCTGCTTGGCCTGGCTTCTGTTTGTTTTGAGCCTCTGCTTTGGACCTCTCTATCGTGTTTCTGGAGCTGGTGCATTTTGGAGCAGTTTGATGGAATTACCAAACAAATAAAACAGCACTAATTAGCACTAATTAGCACTACGTACGCACGCAGCTCCACATACATCTCACTTTGATTTTAAGTGGGCTGGACAAGTGAAGCTCTCCTTTCTGTCAGTGGAAAGAACTTTACCTACACACTTAATCCCTTGTGCTTATATGATAATGTAAGAAAAAGAAATGCGATTTTAACATTGCATCGGTTTTTCCACATGACAAAGAAATGGGGCTGTGGTAAATGAAAGAAATCTTTCAGCATCTGAGCTTAAATTGTAAGAAATAAATATGTAAAATTACAGAAAAACAAAATCCTGTTAGCCCATTGTCCAGATGTTCCTGTAATTATAAAAACAGAAAGTTTCTGTTAGAAAATGCCCTTTTTTTGAGGATCCACTGTAAAAAACAGAAAGTCAACTGTGGAATAAAAAGAAACTTTTTCTGTTATTTAATTGTTTATAACACATAATTATTTTGGTGTAGAATAAACGGCCATGGGGGAGGTCTACATTAGCAGGAAATGTTGCAAAACCTATTAAAATACAGTGATAAAATGAATGCCTACTTTCACATCTTTCACAGTATCCTGTGGGCCAGACTGAAGTCTTTGTCCTTGAACCTCATGTTTGACAACATGAGGACTAGCAGTCAACACATTTTGCCTAACTTATAAAGGATCAACTGTTGGAGACACAATCTCTGGGAGTATTGCATCATTAAAGACATCCAATGTAAAAACCTTGGCCAAAGCAAAATATAGTGCATTAAACATTATAGTTCATATTGATGATGACTTAACACTTTATCCTTTCTTCACCCTTCAAAACAAAAAACCACGATGTTACAAAAATCAATGCCAAGTCCAGAGATGTATGAGTAATCTTACTTTACCAATAACCATCTTTTATATACAGCCATGAGAAAAGATACTGACTGTGACTAAGCGAGAACCTGCTTTTCTTCAGTGTCACAGCAATCCAAACACAGTCATATATATTTTAGCAGGAAGAACCTGATGTAGCAATTTGGTGCCAATTTGAAAAAAATGTAATTAGATTTTTCTGTTACAGCTGTCAAACCATAAGGCACTGAGTGCTGTGTAACAGGGGCAGGAGAACTTGTGGAGGAGGGATCATTTCTACAGCATCCAGCAACAGTTTCTCTTTTCCATTTAATTTCTCCAACTCTTCACCCTTTTCAGTTTTGAATCCTTCATATTCTGTTTTTTTTATAATATATTTCCTTGCCATCCACACAATCCCCACCTCTGCTAGCTCTATCTTTTTCTCCCCAGGGAAGCAGAGGTGGTGCAATCATTGTTTAAACACACCACAGGGCAGTTGTTCTTTGCACGCCCAAACTTTGCTGCAGTCTTCACTTTACATATATATATTTATACACATATATATATATACATACAGACACACATACAGCTTGTATGCATGCATGTTTACACTGTGCATGGAGACACAGAAAGATGCTAATTCAATAAATTAACTCTGCGGTACCTTAGTACACTAAAAGTCCTGAGATGCCCTCCTCCTCTCTTCTGTCTGACTGCCTGCATTACAGTCATTGCTGTGCAACTTCATACAGTGTTATGAGCCTTTACATCAGTTGAGTACCAAACAAAGCGGCCATTAATGGTTAAAGCACCCAGTTGGTAACCTCCCAATACCAAAAAAAAACCCCAACTCACAAACAGGCACACACACACACACACACACATACACGCACGCGTGCGCACACACACACCTTTAATGACATCTTTTCTGCGGCACATTAACTATTGTGCGGTAATTAATGGGAAAGTCATGGTCTTCAAAAAGCCAGTCTTCTCTCTGCAGACTAGAAGCTGTTCACCACAACAATGGCTTAATGAGTAAACACACCGTGCGTCTCATGAATAAATTATTTGTGCCTTGCAATTAATTTTCCCTATTGAAGCTTGGAGAAAAAAAAAGCAGGACTGCTACCAGTCTTCATAAATCAAAAAAAGGGAGGGGTTAGGGAGAAAGAACATGACAGGAACTTTG